TGTTATGATTCAACTCAAAATCAAGTGTCCCTAAAATGTCGTCCAAGTGTCCCTAAAATGTCGTCCAAGTGTCCCTATGTCGTCCAAGTGTCCCTAAAATGTCGTCCAAGTGTCCATAAACTGCAAGTGTTCTGTGAGAGCTCACTCCCCCCCCCTTTCCCGTCCACAGACTACCAATGTTTCTCTGTACACTCCCCTCCCTTCTTTCTGCCTTCTCCTCCTCTTCCTGCTTCTGTCTTCCTCCTCCCTTCTTTTTCTCATTATCATTCCTTTTTTTCTCCCCTCCCCCTTCTCCTCCTCTTCCTCCTCTTCCTCCTCTTCCTCCTCCTCCCCCACCTGCTCCTTCCTATTTCTCACCTCTCATACCTTTTTCTCCCCCTCCTTTCCCATTCCTCTTCCTCTTTCCTCTTTCTCATCTCTCATTCATTTTGTCTTCCCCCTCTCGCCTTCACAGTCTACGTCGCCAAGGGGATCACTGTGTTGCTGCTACTAATCATGGTCTTTTTCTTCCTCCCTCTTCCTTATTCTCACTCTCTTTTCTTTTCCCCCTTCTTTTTTCTCCTCCTCCTCCTCCTCCTCCTACTTCTACTCCTCCTCCTACTCCTCCTCCTACTCCTCCTCTTCTTCCTCCTGCTCCTCCCTTCTTTCCCACAGTTTACCTCCTGATGGGCATCTCTATGCTTCTGCTGCTGCTGAACTTGTTCCTCCACCTCTCTCATCTCTCATTCCTTCCCCCCTCCCCACCTTTCCTCCTCCCCCTTTTCCCCCTCTTCCTCCTCCTCACCTCTTGCCTCCCTCTTCCACACTCTACCTCCCGATGGGCATCTCTATGCTTCTGCTGCTGCTGAGCATGTTCCTCCACTTCCATCTTTCTCGTCTCTAATTCCTTCCCCCCCTCCCCCCTTCCTCAACCTCGTACTCCTCGTCCTCACCTCTCGCCTCTCTCCTCCACAGTCTACCTCCTGATAGGTATCACCATGCTGCTGCTGCTGATCACCGTCTTCTACGACATCCCAGAGCTCAACCTGGGCTATCACTTCTACCTAAAGAGTGACGAACTCGAAGGAAAGCAAGAAGCGGACGAGGAAACAAGGCTGAAACCAGCTGAGACCGGTAACTCCAGCAAGTACACGAAACAGGTGCGAGAGATAGGAAAGTTGTGTCTCTACACAT